TAAAGTTCATCAAATTTCTGATCTGATCTAATAGAAGATACTTCCAAGGTGGTCCAGAATTGCCTCTGAATTTTTTTTAATGCATAATAAAATTGTTTGTATTTTATTATAGGGGGTCATATACGTTTTAATTAGGGTTTTAAATGTATTTTATTTAAAAAGGAATTAATTTATTGACAGAATACATTTTTTACTTTCCTGTCTGTATACAGATAAGGAAAGTATAGGAATCATGATTTTTTTTGACGGATTATTACGTTTTTGGGTTTCCTAAATGCGTTTTGACTATTTTCGCGATGATGTATGCGTGTATGTGTGTGGCTGTATACTCAATAACTCGTGAACGGATAAAAAGGAAAACACTAAATTTTAAATTTAAGCTTTGATTAATTCTCTAATAATGACTGAATTACATTTTAGGCATAGTCGGAATATCTGGGGAGGGTACTTTATAGGGTTCGTTTTTCTACTACGACTATATGTTATTTACGCTTGGAGAAGAAAATTCTTTAAATTAAAGTTGCTTGTGTTGCTCTATAATTTTTATCCTATAGGAAAATAATTTTCCTAAAATTGTTTGTATTCAAATTTTTTTATAAAAAAGTGCATATTTAGAATTTTTAAGAAAAGTTCAAATTTCGAATGTGGTGAAAACTCAAAAACGGTTAAAGAGAAAAACAAAATTTTAAACTTAAGCTTTCATCCATTCTTTAATGAGCTGATTAAATTTTGGGCATAGTCAGAGCACTTTGTAAAGGGTCGATTTTCTGCTTAATAGAATTATTTAGTATAGATCCAAGTAGCTGTTACCGAGGCTGTTACCCAATGAGTTTCTTAGCGAGGTCCAAAGTTGAGGACTGTACTAAATTAAGTTCATTAGATATTAAGGTTTGCTTTGTTTTTAAATTTCTTGTTGTTACTTAACTCTACATTACTATTAATTTTTTATAGGGTTTGTAAAGTATCCAATAAATAAATATATGTTATTTACACTTGAAGAAGAACATTATTCAATTAAAAGTTACTTGCGATATTTTTCTCTATAATTTTTATCCTATACATAATTTATAATAAATGGTCCATATTCGAGAAATTTTACAAAAAGTACAAAATTCAATTTTTTAAGAAAATTGTTCAAATAAAAGTTGCTTGTGATTCTCTATAATTTTTGTCCCATACACGATTTTCCTAAAATGGACCGTATTCGATATATTTGAGGAAAATTGCAAATTTTGAATTTGGAAATTACTCAAAAACGGATAAAGAGAAAAACACAAAATTTTAAACTTATGCCTTAATAAATCCTGCAGTGAGCTGATTAAATTTTGGGCATAGTCGAAGCTCTGGGGGAAGGGGGTACTTTTTAGAGTGTCGTTTTTTTACTTTAATACTACCTCTGTTATTTACGATTGGTGAAAAAAATTCTTCAAATAAAAGTTGTTTGCGATCACATTCTCTAAAATTTTTGTTTTATACATGATATATCTTTAAAATGGACCGTAATAGAAAAATTTTAATATATCAGTATTTTCGTTGGCAATAAATACATGTAAAAAATATTTGGAGTAAGATGCATATGGAAAATCTCTAAACATTTACAGGGGTGATACAGTAGGTTTACAAATTAACTAGACAAAAAAGTCATGTGTTGGACACATCAGATTTTTATGTAAAAAAGCGGAAACAATTATTTTTTGCAAAAATAGTACACAGAAACTATAGTGAATAAAACACAACCTGATTCATCCCTTTAGCTTTAGAATAATAGTTGACAAGTGCAGTGTTACTATGAGTTTATTTAATTTAGGTAGATATGTTTAAATAAAGAGTTTATAAAGAGTTATTCACAATAGTAGTTTGTGCAACAAAAGTGGATGTAATGGCCATATGTAATACATATAATCCACTCAAGTTGTACAGTTTATTTTTTTACGACCCATTAACAAAAATTTACAAAATTTGTTGATGACTTTTATTAATTTATTAAATAAAATAAACTTTAAAAACAAAAACAAAACAAAAATTTTAATTTACGATATAAGTAGGTATTTGTAAATATACTCGAATATCTGGTGACATGCTTTTATTTACCGATTCTTCAAAAGCATCATTAATTTTTAATTATATTTAATCTTAATAACTAAAAAATATATTAACAATTAGTTTGACAGAATTGTGACTTATGTAATATTAAAAATAAACAAATTTCACGTTATTTTCACGTCTTATGCAAACTTTAGTTTTTCTTTTTTTTTATATGAGCCATACATGTCCTATATAAAATTTAGTTCTCCTGACATAACACCCAGCTAATGTTTTTTACTGGAAACCAACTAGAAAGCCATACATTGTCGTAAAAATTCTTCGGAAATGCCTGCAATTTTGAATAAATAGTGGCAATCCATACGGAAATCGCCGCAATCAGTACGGAAATCGCCGCAGTCAATGCATAATTCAAAGAAGTCACGAAAAATCTATCGAAGTCATGTGGAAATCATCGCAGTAACTGGAAATCTGTAGGAAGTCACATGGAAATCACCGCAGTCATCCAGAAATCGCCATATGATTGCGGAAATCATATGAATTCGGCAATACATGTACATTTTTACAAAGAGTGATTCGCCCCTCGAAATTATCTAATAATTTAATGTGGTTTGAAACAAAACTAGGTGGGTGCTATTGTTCCCATGGTCCTTCCAGGACAGTTCTTTTGTTCAGTTTGTGACAGTTGATAAAGTGTGTCTTAATTACTTACCGATATCTATTCTTACAAAAACAAATACATTTTGTTACAAGTACAGAAAGATATATATTTTACTAGTAAGAATGATAAAGTGTAGTGAAAAATTTTGTTTTTATTGTACAGTACACAGTGCTACAAAATCACCATTTAAAATATTGATGTTTCCTTAAATCAAAATTTAAACTTGTTTTTTCCCACCCTGTATAATAAAATATCTTTTGATGTCAAGTAATATTTTCTTCATAATAATTCAATTAAAAAAAACTTTTAAATTTTAGCTAACTTGAGCCAAAAATAAATATTATTTTAATACCAGCAAAAGCACTTATTTTTTTTAAATATTTGTTTTTTCCTAAATTAAACAATTTTAGCTGTATACCTTGCTATGCAAAGTGACAATATTCCATTAGAAACAGGAATAAAAATAAGGGTGTCTCATTTAAAATAAAAAAGTTGACATCTACTTCCAATGACAAAACTGTCCACATATTTTAGATGGAAAGATCATAACCTGTTTACTATTTTGAACAAAATCTCTCCACGATTTGTCAGATAGAGAGTGTCTCACCGAGGTGTTGGACAGCCTGTATAGTATTAGTTAAATTGGCAAAATTTGGTCTGTAATTTTGTAAACTCCTATTAGAAAATCTGAATATCTAGTTAGATTATAAAAAACAATATGTATAAGGTAATAGACAAATAAGTGTTTTTTTTTAATAGGTAGGTATCAGTAGTTATTTGTAGTCCATTCAGACAAAATATAATTCCGGTACTTAAGTATTTTAAAAATATATATTATTTAGGTAATAAAATATTTAACAATGTAATGTAAAGATGAGTAATCTTTATAGGAAATTTAATGCCATTTTTAATTATCTTTGGAGCCATTTAATACTAAAATTTAGACGTGCACTCAAGGGAGTGTTTTAGGGATAACAACAATGATTTAATAGCAATTTTTTTCTACATGTCTTCTTTCCACAATGTAAAAAATGTCTTAAGACCCTCAAATAAAATATCTAGGTGCAGCGTTGCTAAAGAAATATGGTAAAATAAGTAGGTACGTAGGTACCTAAATAAAAATGAATTACAAAACCACACCATAGAATTCCCTAGATCTAAAATTGTTAGGTTATGTTAAGTAAAAAGCAAAAGATGTTATGACTTGGTTAACCACAACTATAAACAAAATAAATATGTAAAAAACCGTAAACAAGAATCAAACTGAGCTAATATTAACCAAGACTTTTAGACAAACATTTTATTTATATTATATTTAAATATCTAGGTACACCTCGTTAGCCAACTCGCCATAAATAGATAAAAGGTTAGTGGATATACCCACAGGTAGGTAAATATACAGACAAATGTACTTCTAAGAATCAAAATTTTTAAATTAGGTAGGTAGGTACATTTAGTAAATATATGACGAACTGAATGAACCAGGACACTTATCTTGAATTACATTATTGATAATAAAAACAAATGTAGAGTACTTACCTATGTGATGTTAAATAAATATTAAATTTCGTTAAAAGAAAAACACTCGTGTTTAAAAAAAAATATCAAAACAATAACAAATGATATTTTAGAAACATTTTATGAGAAGACTATTAAATTTAATATTTCTGTAAATTGTAATACTGAATGGTACTAATGTTTCATTATTCCAAACATTTTATGGCTTATTAAAAGTAACATGGATCAATTAATAAACCGACTGATACCCAGAATTTTAAATTGCTGTAACTCAAGGTTCTTAACCTCAATTCGTCTTATTTAATTCAAGAAACTGGCAAAAAAGTTTTATTTTATATCAGTATTCCCCCTTCACGTAAGTAACTGTAAAGACCAAATAACCTAATCGATATAACTACATAATGTATTGAATATTATAATAAAAAGTACCCAACTTATTTAGTCAGTTACAGGAAACCTATTTATATTCATAGAGTTTCACTGTTTCGTAACAAAGAATCCTCTACTGAGATTTATAATAAATAATCGTATCAATAAATGTGGTGTACAATTAACTCTTCCACGGTAAGGAAGTAATGACCTCCCAGGGTCTTCTATCAATGATGACTCATTTGAGATACCTACACTTAGCTAACGAAGAACCTGTCTTAATATGAACACCTACCTACCAATTTTTAAAAGCATTTGGTATGCATTTCCGGATTTTTAAGATAATTCTAATATTATACATTCAACGGCTAGATTGAACAGGTATTTTGCAACAACCAATGATGATTACCTGTAATTTTACAGCAACACAAATTTCTAGAGATAAGTCAAAGGTCTACCTAATAAGGCTAAATTTCTTAAGCAATATTGGCCTCTGAATTCATGACGAATCCGTCGAATATCACTCGTACGCTGAACTATTAAGAAACTAGGAACACCCCGTACACAAATATAGAATCTCAAGTTTCTACTAATGCTAATTTTAAGTGTTAAAACTATTTTTCCTGTATTTAGAGACCGAGTGAAAGCTTTGACAGGGGCACACTTTACGAACAGAAATTGTCACGTTTCGGTTCATTTTTTCACTTAGATCACTAAATAACACTACACTAGGATTTGTAAAGATTATAACTCACCCATAAAATAATCCTGGTCACTTTAATATCCTTTAAAATCAACACACACCTCAAAAAAGCATACTTTTAGATTTCTACAAGATGGCTGGGAGACTGAACGTACACACATCGAACAAGCTAGGACCTACTTCAACGATATCGCCCTAAGAAGCACGTTTACTGGCGTAGGAACGTTAGTCGCAGCGCATAGCGGGTTTTTATGACGTCGGTGACAAGGTGATGGGTTGTACGCATGACCAACCGGACTGTAGAAAAGAAGCAGTGGCAGCCAAACTTTCGAATATCTAGCCCCATGCGCGTATTGGTTTCTGTTTGATATAAAACGTTCGTTCACTGACATTAGTTTGAATTATTTATAAAATTGCTTTGCATCGATTCTCGAGAGAATTTATTCGGAAGTCATCAGATACGAACAACTTATATGTGAATTACGTTTTTAAAGGTATACATGTCTTTTTTATAATAGGAAGTAATTGTGCCGGTTTAGGAGCCGCTGTTTGACTCGCGTTAAACTTCGCACTGTCTACGTTTCCGAACAGCCGGTTTTGGATTCATTTGAGTGACGTCATTCGTCGATCGTGAACTGTCCCCAATTTTTGAATTGATTATTTATTTTGGATGAATACATTTTGTATCATAATTAAGCAATATAAATTTGAAAAAGTTATTGCATAATAATTATAAAATTTTAAATGTGATCAGCAAGATTTTTAAATAAAAATTGAGTAGGTACATAATCAGTTCAAAGTTGTACAAAAATTTTTCAATAGATTTTTTTTAAGGATTTATAATTAAATAATTTATTAAATTGCAATAGCTTAGAAACTGCACATTTTGAAGTAAACAATATGTCTCGCAATATGTTAAATATTGATATTTTTATTACATATACAGGGTGTACCAATAAAAACTCCCAGACTGGATATTTCGGTAAGTAATAGAGATATTTTAATTCTGTAAAAGCCAGTTCACAGAGCACTAAGAGTACTTTGGTTTTAGATATAAATTAATTTTAAATAGTTCAATATGTAGATGGCGTTGCGCTCAATAATTTTTTTTCGATGGGAAGATCTTTCTTGTGTAGCGCATCTTGTAAAAAACGCATTTTTAAGCAGATTTTGTTTTATGAACTAATTCGATAAACTAGCCATTTTTGATATACTGAGTGGATCACTCAAAACAGTTTCATCCTGTTTTTCAGCATTAATCATTGGATTTTAAGAAAATGCTAAAAAAAATTAAATTTATTAAAAAGTTGAAATTTTTGTTGTTTTTCTTTAAAAATATAAGTTTTTCGCGGTGTAGCGAAATTCTTGGTTCATTTTTACAACGATTGGCCTGAACCATTTTTTTTTATAATTTTTTTTAACTGCCTCAAATGTAAAATTGATTTTTGGTGGAGGAGCGCCCGTCATGTTTGCTCTTAATAACAAAATCTCGATTGATCGAAAGCAGGTGACATAGGACTAATATATTCTCCAATTCTCCAATTAATACAACTTGTAGCTAGATTCAATAAATACCTACACACAATTTACTAAAAGTTCTAAGAATATTAAAGTAAATTTGAAAAATAAGCATTGTCCAAACTTGTGGGTAACTATGTCTGAGTTGTTTTATTAAATGAAAGGGTAACCTTTCATTTAATAAGGAATATCCACTACACTGTTGAATTAAAATCAACTTTAATTCACAAAATGGGTCGTATGATTGAACGTTTACGTTATCCGTAACGTACATGTTAGGCCGAGTTTTAACAGTAACAAGGCAAGTTCGTACGATGGAAAACTTTTTCCAACACATTACTGTTATTTTCCACCTGTTATGTTCTAATTTAACAGGTTTCCATTATACGAACTTGCCTCGTTACTTTTAAAATTCGGTCTAACATGTACGTTACGGATAACGTAAACGTTCAATCATAGGACCCATTATAAATATTTGGAAAAACCGTATAACATAAACAGATAAAGTAATGCTTTCTGTTTTCCCTTGGGAAATTATCACTTAACATACCTACATATAAGCGCTCGAGTATCACAAAAAGAACGAAACACACGTACTTATAAAAAGACCCGGAAATTTTCCGTTATAAAAAATTTACCACTTAGTTTCAGCACCATAGCACTTCCATTTGTGACCGAAAGACTTCTTCCGTAATATGTAAATTTCGATACCTCTACGTTTTTATGTTAACTAAGTTCCAGAAAAATATTGCAAATGCAATAGGCGAACACTGACAATCTGCCCTTTGTTATTTGTGAGTGAGATGGATTATTTCTAGGTTAAAATTAGGAACAAAACTCTTTGGATTGTCTAATTTTGTTCTATCAGGATCGGTTTCGCAAAATTTTCTGTCTTGAAATGTTATTTTCACGCATTATAATAAGTTTCAAATTGTACCGATAATAGAATATTCTAGATTATTAATTGGTTATAATTTTGTTAGGTTGTTCTTTATAGTTTTTAAAAATGTATCACTAATTTTATTTGAATACCCAATTGTCTTTGTAGACAAAATAATTTTTAAATAGATGTTTAATGGAATTTTATTTAATTTGGCCCCCTCATCCCCTTCCTAAGTGATTTTGTTAATTTTTTTTAAAATGTATTTGATAGTTTTAACAATTTGGCACTAATTTTATTTCAATACCCAATTGTCTTCTTAGGCAAATTAATTTTTAAATAGATTTTTTAATGGAATTTTATTTAATTTGACCCCACAGTCCTTTCCTAAGTGATTTTGTTAATTTTTTTTTTAATGTATTTGATAGTTTTAACAATTTGGCACTAATTTTATTTCAATACCCAATTGTCTTCTTAGGCAAATTAATTTTTAAATAGATTTTTAATGGAATTTTATTTAATTTGACCCCACAGTCCCTAAGTGATTCTGTTAATTTTTTAGGATGTATTTAATGGTTTTTAACAATTTTGCACTAATTTTATTTCAATACCCAATTGTCTTCATACGCAAATTAATTTTTAAATAGATTTTTAATGGAATTTTGGAATGCCAAGAATATTTAAAGAATCCTGACTATAACCTCCAAAAATTTCTCCAAACTATAGCGCAATGACATATGGATATCATTCTTTACACATTAAATTACTGTTTATTGTTGCGGTATTCAATATCAGCGAGTTAGCCAGGAGTCATGAACAACGACTTTTAGACCACGTTAACGTTGAGGCCATCCAGCTCCTCGACAACAGCAATCATCCATGAAGACTCAATAAGAGGAAACGTTATTAGTTAATTAATTGTCAGTGCAAAGCAGTGCAAGTGCGGTGTTTATACGATAGCGTTAGTGTTCATTTGTATTAAAGTTTAATGAGGAACACCCTTAGTTTTAAGTTTGAAATTAGTAAAATAGGATGAATTAAAAACAATTCGTTCCGCGCTCTAACCCATGTCCCAATCACGATAATTAGCGGTTCACAAATGTATACGCACCTTTAAATTAACCCCAAACAAAATTTCTCATCAGCTTGTGGTGTGAAGGTGAAATTCCCTATGATCGGTAACATATTGGTACCTAGTCAAAATTAAATTTTGTGATTGGCCAAAAAATATTGAGCAATAAATTATTATTCAACACTTGTGATTATTGATCTAGCATCGGCTATCGAACGGTTTCCAATAGCTTTGCACGAGTGCATGTGGAAACTACAGAAAATTAGCATTAATATTAGCAGGAAACGAATATTAACGTTACCAGTTTATACGGCCCGGCCATCGTTACAACGCTGATATTATTCGCTTCTTACTCACCCTAATGTTAACTTTCTGTAGTTTTCACGTGGTCTTGTGAAAAGCGTATTGGAAAACGTTCAGTGGCCTACACTGTATAGAAATTATGTCATATGTCAGGGCTGGTATATCTAAAGGGGTCGCGACATAGGAGTTCATTTTGGACGCAATTTTTCTCGAAATGGTAGTAGCCCATTGATCTGGAAACCTGTAGTCGCCAGGCTTGCCAATATAAAAAAAACAGTCTTTCTTTAAATGACATTTTCATTATAAAATGCCCATATTTTTTTGGATAAAATATTTCAATTTAATAAATTATTAATAATCTCATGTACATAGAATACGTCGTGAAAAGCAGATCACTTTCAATTTTGTGCCGTTTTGGTTCGGTTTATTTTAAAAGATAATTAAAGAGATAAAGACAATTTTCTAAAGATGAGGATGCATAACAAATTATGGCTCCCTTTTTTAGAGCTCCAGTCCCCTAAGTCCATTTATTTTAGGTCTTTTAAATTGTTGGTAGGTATTATTCACTATTTGTATGTTTTTATTTAATTTAAATAATTTTGTGTAATATTTTGCGATTTGTTTTCTATACATTTAAGCTTGTATTTGTTGGCTACATCTTACAAAGGATGGCTTTGAAATACCTTTACAACAGATGTACTTTCCTAAAACTGGCCGAAATTTGAAACTGAATACAGTTCTTAGAGAAAATCTCCAGTAAAAAATGTCTGCATACAGAATAACAGTAGCATAGATTAACAAAGCTGACAAAAGAGTTGGACAAACCTTTGTCTAGCTTTTTTAATATTTCAGGACAATAGTGTTAACAGCAAACCACAACAAGAACAACCAAAGTTTAGTAATCAAGCAAAATATTTCAGTATCTCCGGAATTATAAACGTATGAAAACTATAATAGGAAACATGTATGGCTTCGAAAAGAAAATTACCTAAATTAGCATATCTAGTGAATATTGTATTTAAAGAATATATTTTTAATCAAAACTTTTGTGCTTCTACTCCAATACTAACCATATAGAAATGCATATGCATTTTATAGTATTAAGCAAGATTCGGATCAAATTTACCCACAATTTTTAAACATTATTAAACTAAAATAAAACATTTCAAATAACACCTGTTTTTTTATTTAAATAAAACATGTTAAATATATGTTTTTATTAAATACATAAATTAGTCTCAACCACACATTTTTTTTTGTTTACCACTTATTTACCACAGCACAAACGCATGTACCTATTCATGTAACTTTAAAATAAAGTGGAAACAAATTGCATAATTTGGTATATAAAAAAGTACATGTTTTTAGTTTTAATACGGCATTCCACTACGAGGAAAACAGTGGTTCATTCCACTTGTACCATATTGACATTATTATGCACGATGCACGTTAAAAGTAGATGTGTCTTTGTTTTTATAATACTATTACGGCAGGACAAACGA